TAGTATAATATATATATATATATATATATATATATATATATATATATATATATATATATATATTTCATAATTTACAGACTTTATTAGATTATCGATCCAAGATTTTGCAAGATAATATAAAAATCAAAGTAATAATATAAATAATATAAATAATAATTTCCGTTAATATATATAGAGAAATTTTTTTTAATATAAAAGAAGCTATCTTGCATTTTTTATTATTTTCAGCTTTTTGTCTTAGATAAAAAAAAAAGTTTAAAAGTAGAAATATAGTATATTAAAAAAAAAGTCATAAAAATCAAAAAAAGTTATCAATATTTTTTCTAATCAGTATTATCAATTTAAAAAAAATTGTGTCCTATTTTTTATTTTACATCGTTGTATATTATTTTTAAGCAAATTATTATATTGTCTAATAATTTTATAAACATTATTTAAAATAATAATAAAATAATAATAATGAATTATTGAATTATTGTATATTTCAGTAAACATATTAAATAAATCAAGTTATTAAATGAGATATTTAATTATTTTTTTCTTATTATTGTATTTTTTATAAAAAAAAATTTTGTATTTATATTTTTACAAAATAGAATAAAACATAATAAAACATGATCGAATAAATTTTGTTGAAAATTTTAATATCAATAAGTTAGACAAGGAGAATAAATAGTGGGACAAAGATAGAGATAGTATAAAAATATTGAAATCAACGCCATCTTCAGAGTGTCGCAAATGAAACTCGCATAAAAAGGACAGAAAATAGAAAGAAAAGGATAAAAATGGTGCAAGAATTAGCGATGAGTGCCATCTCTTGAGCACGAATCAAACTATAAATGATTATAAACCGAGGGTAAAGTATATAATATAAGAATTGAATATCAACGCCATCTTATGAACGCCATCTTTCATTAAGAGATATCTTTGGTATTCAAGAGATGGTGCTAGTGATCAATTCTTATTCTATTTCTATCCTTTTCTTTCTATTTTCTGTCCTTTCCACACTAGTTTCATTTGCGGCACTCTGAAGATGGCGCTGATTTCAATATTTTTATCCTATCTCTGTCCTTGTCCCACTATTTGCCCTCCTTGTCTAACTTATTGATCTTAAAATTTTTAACGAAGCCTATTCGATCCAAATTTTTTCTTTTACGTTTTATTCCATTTCGTGGAAATATACACAACGAACATCGTCCCAAGTGTTCACTACGATTCTTTATCTTTCTAGTAACAGATTAATCCCTTAAAAAAAAAAGTTTCTCAAATTTTCCTAATTTTTTTGAAAAAAATACATATTTCAAAAGTTTGAAAAATCAATTGTTAATAAATAATTTCTCAGAGAAGAAAACTTTCAATTCATCGATTTCTCTTGCAGTTTATCAAGCTACTACTTTAAAAGATTAACACGTTACAACGTTCTTGACAATTTGAAAATAGTTGGAATCCCGACAATCGAGAAAAAAGAAAACCGAGGGCAAGTGGTGCAACAAGTGTCGCAACCATTTCCTATCCTCGCATCTTCGATCTGAATGCCATTTCGATTGCATGGGTATACAAGTTGGCGAGGATAGAAATCCGAGAGCGACGCGTCCAGGATGGTTTTTGTCTGTAGTGTTAATCAAGCTGGAAATCGGGAGAACTGTCCCATCGTGGAGACTTTCTAATTCGTCAAGCTAGCTTTTCCTTAATTCTCCCCTAATGCTGCCACGGATAATGCAGAGGGTTCCTTTCATACGTTTCATTGCTCCAACGAATCTTAGAAACGGTTTTCTATAGCGGATCGAGTTGTATTAATTTAATAATAATAATCGTATTATTAAAAGGATCAATATATATATATATATATAATTTATAATTGTCCTTTCTCCTTTTTTTCTTTTTTTCTTTCTATTTAAGAAGAAACACCAAGTTTTCATAAGATTTCAAACTGAACTTACCTTTTATCCACAATGATGAAGATCATCTTCCAAGTATAATAAAATGATCTTTTTTTTTCTCTAATCACACAACGTTAACAACGATTTCTAATTTCTATATCCTCTACTATATTTAACAGACTTTACACTTTATGACGGATGTTTCGATCGATCAGAAACTTAACGATACCCTGTTCGAAGCAAACGCGTCAAGTAACAACTACCGATCATTGTTACGGTAAGGAGTGCAGTTTCATCCGTGCCGTGTGTGTTTTAAAAGTCGATCGGTGCACCTATCGTTTCGCTCGTAAATGACCACCCTTTGAAGCGAGGAAACGAACGCTGGGGCCATCGAGGCTGCATTGACGACAGTCAGCGAATAAAGAGCACGCGTGGAGAACGGTGCCCAGATTCTTCTCTCTCTCGTCGTTCGTTTTATACGTTATTCCCTCTTTTACGAGCGCTCCACTCGATTTCTACTCGATTCGGGACTTTGGACAATGTGGAGCAAAATCCAAAAGTTGGAGCAGCCGTGTACTCAAATAAAAAGAAGAAAAGAAGGAAAAGAAGGGAGTAACAGATGGAATTAAATCGTTCGATTCTTCGTGGATTTTCTTTTAAGTTTTCTGAATTAAATTGCCCTTCCTTTATTGAAACTATCGTTGGAATAAATTACGATAATTATGGCGAGCTTCTTGAAAAATTCAAACGGTTCAAACGTCAATATGGTACATTTTTTATTCGATCGATTATCTAATCACGTTGCCTCCTTGAATTATCGAAAAGAATTTCGATTCCATGTATACGCTATGCTTCTCCATTCGAAAATTCGTTTACTCGCTCGTCCAAGAATGAACTGTTTTCAAAAATTAATCAAACTATTCCACTTAATTCCACCAAGATAACAGAAAATTAATTCACCTCTTAAAAATTTTCCTCCGATCGTTATTCTGTCTTAAAATTCCAATCATACACGTTACTTTATCGAGACAAAGGCACGTTCTCGAAAAAATCACCCTCCCTCCTCACCACTTCCTCTGATCACAACAATTCTCCACCTCCTCTCCAAAAAAAAAAAAAGAAAAAAAAAGAAAAAAAATTAACCAGGACGTTGAATGGACGTTCGCGTGGGAGAAGTCGTAATGCATTCGGCGTCATTATACCGCCATTACACGGTTGAATTTGTAACAGTGTAAAGACAAAATGAAAATCATGGGGAATGGGGCGAGGAGAGGGCACGGTGTGCCGTCGCGCTATTGGTCGCCGTTAGGGGTGTCCGAACACTTCGTGGGTGGTTGGGAGCCACTATATAAAGCGTTTCACGGATCATGGTACATCGCAGTTGCTTTCACGTGTTGCTTCATCCGCGTCTCCAGATCCGCGTTTTTTCCTTCCTCAAAACGTACGAGTCGCGTTTTTTCCCCCCTCTCCCGCCCCCACCTCCCTTCTTATTCCCTCGTTGGCCAAACGAACGAGTTCTTTCGTTCGAAGAATTACGTTTCTCGATCTCGAGAGTAGTTTTTCCTTTCCTTCTGCTCCGATTTTCGGTTACGATACAAGATGAGGACGTAATTCGATCGCGAGAGAGGGGAAAGAAAGGAGAAACAAACAAACGAGAATCTTCGATTTTCCAGAAAATCGAACGAGGTAAATCCGAAGGAAAGAAGAAAAATTGGTTCCTTTTACTCGACGTAGAAAAAAAAAAAAAAAATTAGAATCGAATCGAAGAGAAGAGGAGGGGGAAATATTTTCGGGAGTTGTTGTATTTTACAGGCAGGAAGATGCACTCGCGGGGTAGGAAGATGCAACTGGTACCGTGTTTCGGTGGCGTAGAGATCGTGCTGTGTTTGTGGATCACGAGTGCTGTTTTAACACTGGTCGCGTCCCAGCAAAAGTTCTACATCCAGGGCCGGTATGGAAAACGTCAAGAGCCGCGTACAGGTGAGCGAGAATTATAAATTATAAATAACATACACTAAAATCGATATTAGAAATCCATTCTCTCCTCTCTCATCGATCCATCCGTAAACGCGTTTCAGCTCTCGGTTTTTCATCCTCGCCAAAATATCGACCTAATTCCACTCGTCCGCGGTTGATCAATTAACGAATGTTCCAACTACTCCGATATTCCGTCTGTTGATTATAATAACAAATTCGTAACCTATTTGCGTAACCCACGATATCGCGGTTCACCCCGTGATTCGTTGAAAGCGCGAAAGCTTTAATTTTCCACCTATATCGGGTAATCATTTCCAGCTTTTGCTCGCATTCGATTCTCCAATCAGAAACCGTTGTTCAGCGGTTGTGCCTTCAATTATCCGTTTCCGGTTTCCAGTCACCCGATCTTTCGCGAAATTTGAAATTTTACTCCAATCTGGATTACAGATTCTCTCTCTCTCTCTCTCTCTCTCTCTCTCTGTGTATGCGTCCATCCTCGTCCGTGAGCGGGCGATAATTGATCGAGTTCTTTTCTTTTCTTCTCTTTTCTTTTCGATTTCAATCGCAGAAATTTCGTTCCTCCTCCACGGACGATTTATTCCGTCGCGAGATTCGTTCTATTGGAAACGGAAAAATGCAAGGAAGGAAACATCGTTCGTCTCGATATAATAATTGTTGTATTTTTTTCCTTAAGAAAGGTCGTTCCGATATTACCTTCACGGTAATTAGCCATAGTTGTTGAAGCGGGTGGACGGAGAAAAAGGAAATTATAGCACATATAAAAAATTTTATGGCAAATTAAACTCGAAAGGAGGATGAGAGTTTCTTAAACTCGGATCGCAATTTAACTGTGTTGAGCGTCCGAACTGGGGACATTTTTCTGCCCATCGTCAATAAGTTTCAATAAGTATGTATGTCGTAAATCGAAACTTTGGCTCGCGTTGTTTAGAAAAAAAATATCGAAATATCTCGTTGAAACATCACGCGAGCTCGATTCTCGTTTAAACTTACGATCAAAATCGCAATCTTATTGTTACGTGTGATTTATGCAACGATCTCTATTTGATCGATATTCAAGAATTAAATTCCTCGTTTTCTTCCATTTCTTCTCTTCTCTCTCTTCAAAGTCGCAACTTCACCACTTCGCATCCTTTAACTCGTCCATCGTAACAAGAAAACTAGACTTTTAAATTTGCAGGATATTTTTCATCCAGGGGATGATAATACTTTTCGCGTGACAATCACGAAAAATGTGCAAAACTAATATATATATATATATATTCCATCCACGAGACAAGACTTTGGAAAAAATCGAAATTTAACGTTTTAATCTCTTCGAGGATTCGTCCGCAATTATATGTGTTAATTGCAGATTCGTTCTACGTGTCGGGAGGAAGGTACGGGCGCGAGAGCGAGAGCGGAGTGGCGAGCAAATCGCAATTGGCGAAGTTGGTTGAGGCCGAGGTGCCGAGGATAGATCGATTCGTTTGGGGTGGCCGATACGACGGAAAACGATCGCCACCTATCGACTATCGGCCTGTCTCGTCCGTGAATCGTTTCAGCGCTGTCCTCGACTTCATGGATCAGGTGGACCTCGATCGAGAGAAGAACGATCTCGGTAACCGAAACGAGCTCGATTTTCTCCCCTAAGATCAATCGTATATCGTACACGGTGAGGATCAACAAGAGATTCCACTTCTGTTTCCCCCTTTTTGTTTTGTTTATTTAAGCAGAAGATCGGCTTTTCGATCGGCTCGGTTTCCCAATTGATAAGATCGACACGGGACGAGTACAGATGTCCCGAGCGTTGAAATCACCCAAGAGCGATGTGCTCGTTAGCGCGTCGAATGAATTTTCGAAGCGTGGATAAAATAATAATCTGGAGCGTGAAAAAAAAAAAGAAGAAAGAAAGAAGGGGAAAAAAAAGTGTTAAACTTTGTCGGAATTATTAACGAGTACGGGATCGCACCTTTTTGTTGTTTTTTTTATTGAAGTTTGTTTTTCGCAATGATTCCATTCCGACAGAGGAAGTTTTGAATCGAAACGAAGCTTTTCGCGGTACGAATGGAACAACTTTTGAATAGTATCGTTTGAAATTTATAATTTTTTTCAGAGTAAAAAAAAAAAAAAAAAAGAGAAAGGAAAAACACGAAAATTTTACTACAAATTTCACTGTTCAAGCGTCTAATTTCACCGTGATGTTGTTAGAACGAGTTTAATTTTGCAAAATCGAGGATGGCATTTATTTTGTTAAATTCCCTTTGTCAAAGTTGCAAAGCATTACCCAAAGCGGTTTCAAATGTAAAGAGAGACGATCTCGTTACAAAAGCGGGATAATTCCTTTTTCTTTCTTTCTTTCTTTCTTTTTCTCCCCTCTCCCCCTAATGGTGGAACAACCATTAGTTTCACTTCCTCTTCTCTCTACTTTTTTTTTTTTTGCAGACACCTTGGGAGGACTCGTTGGCCCTTTTTCGTGGAAACGAAAAAAAGAAGAAGAAAGAAAGAAAACTCGAGGGGAAGAAAGGAGATGCACGAATGGAATGAATAAAAATTTCCAATTTTTTTTAAACAAGTCCTCCGCATAATCAGAGTGTAAAGTATCGCGGAAATGAGTGAAACGAGCAAAGGAAAAAAATATAAGCTTCAGTTTACGCATCGTAGAACACCCTGTGTGCTTTTTATTTCTCTCATCCACCAAATTCCTCTTTCCTTCATTCGCGTTACTTAATTTACTCACTTATTATCGAAAGGTTGCAAAATATGAATCGAATTTGCAAAATATGAAATCTAAAAATCATGAAACAGTGAACCCTTCTCTCCAACGATCTCCAACCAATTCCTTCTTTCTCCACGTATCAAAGTTTAGAGGACCGGTAGAGTATCTATCTCTTGGGTGTAAAGTCTAAAATGTCTCGTCCCTTCTTCGTCTAATTCGACATCGTCTAATTATACTTTCAAAAGTTTGCCACCAGTAGCAAGTTTGTTAGGTCCCTATCCCTTCGGGAAATTTCTGCAAGGAATTTTCCTTTTTTCCCTTCCTCCCTTTTTACCACCCTCTCTCCGCCTCTTATTCAACATTTAGAAACGGATTTAGAAAAGATTTCAAAAGATTTTTCCCTTCTCCTTCGTTTAATCCCTTCCACCATCTATTAATATCCAGTTTCAATCGTTTTCCCATTTTCGTTCTCCTCTTTAAACGCCCAGTTTTTTTCCCCACTTACCTTCTTTTTTTTTTTTTTTACCCGCACCGAACAAGCGCAACAAGTTCTCGTCGAGAGAGAGAGAGAGAGATTCGATTATTTTATTTGTTTTGCTTTTTTTTCCTTTTTCCTCCTCCCCTCCTTTTATTTTCGAATACTTCGCTTCCTTTTTTCCCCTCTCTTTTTTTTTTTTTTTCATTTTCCGAACCGATCGGCGAGAGTAGGCGGTCGAAATATCGGCCACGTGACGATAACAGTACCGTTTTATTTCTCGGTCAAGTGTTGCAACGATTCGGTATTGATCGATACGCGATAATTAAACCGCTTTGGTAGGAAAATGGGAAAAACACGATCGTTTATGGCTCTTTCCAACACGACACTACGTACACTCGTATTCCATTTACCGTGTGAAGATTTTTCCTTTTTCTCTTTTTTCTCCCTCTAAAAAACTTTCCAACAAACGTCGAGCGCACACATTAAGGATTAAATCCTAAGAGAGAGAGAGAGAGCTTTTAGCTGCCGTTAAATGGGATTTACCGAATGGATATATCCCGACGTATCCTCTTTCAATCCGATCTTATTTTTCTAGATTTCATTTTAAATTTCCAATATCCCGTTCGAGAATCCTTCGAGGATCCTTCTCGGAATGGCACTCGCGAGACTTGAGAGGCGAATATCTAAAAGGAATAATAATAACAACGAGTGGACGATGTTTCGTGTATCGAGCGGGGAATGCCGATGCGCCAATTAGAAATATCGACGCGTTCCATTCACTTTCGCCCCGATGAAAATGAAGAGGAACCCGCCGATTCGAAAGCAACGAAAGTAAGATTCTCTTGTCCTCTGTTTGGAGAAGATGCAATGTCGTTCTGGGAAACTCTGGGGTGATCGAACCGAGGGGGGGGAGGGGACCGACGGTTCGGTTTTCGATTCGAATTTATCTTCGGAAGTCGGGACAATGTATCGATTGAGAAAGTGGAAGATGATATTCGACTCCGCGCGTGTCTCGTTTCCGCGGATCGTAAAACCGAAGGAAATCGGTCTCTCGATTAATAAGTTAATACGAATAAATTACAACCTCGGCGTGGAATAAACGCGCGGAACGAATGAAATGAATTTACATACTATTTGTTCTTTAATCAATCCCGTTTACATTAAATCGATTTATCGCTTTCACCACTTTGCCTTTCCAACTTTGTTATCAATTTTTTAGCTACTTAGCGTATTAACGTTTCTCTCCAATCCGAGTATCCTCTCAGCTTTTACAAATCTCGCCAGCCTGGCCCAATTTGCGCCAATTATAAATTCCCCGATCTTTCTTTCGTTTCTTCGATCCGTCGTTCTCGCGAATCATCGTGCGAATCTCGGTATAGGATCGACACTGCGAATCCGCCAACGATTCCCAAGATCGAGAACATTTCCAAGATTCGAGGATCGAATCGATTGGAGCGAGCGAGAGAGAGAGAGAGAGAGAGAGAGAGAGAGAGAGAGAGAGAGAGAGAGAGTAGAGAGAGAGAGAGAG